TCAATTCCTCCTTATGCATTTAAGAAAATGATCTGTTCTCTCTTCAAACTCAATTTGGTAATATTATTGTAGTGAACGAGAACACAGGTGGGGCAACCGGATTGTATTTAACGAAAATTACAGAGTTACTCAGTAAAATTGGAAAACCATATCGTAAATCGTTAATTTGCAAAATATCAGTTCATCATATCGAACTGGACTGTTCCTGATGCAAAACATCAATCCATTGTCACTATTCATGAGTTTCATACAAATTCCATTGTGTTCTAACTCTTCCTTTCTTGATCTTTCCCCATCTTCTGCTGCCAGACATTACGTTTACGCTCACGTTATATACTACTTATAAGTAGCTCACACCACAATATTTTATTGACTAGGTTGGTCGGCTTGTTAGAATTGTATAACGTGTACTGTTGTGGATAGGATTTGAGTGTAACTAATCCAGTCTCGAACTGTATTACGCTGACTGACTGTAGGATTTAATTTGTCCTACAGATGTAATTCTAAAACGTAAACGCAAATACCGCCGATGACAGAATCCAGAGTGAAACTATAGTTAACAGAAGACAATTCGGTATTAAACTTTATCTCTTTCGGACAGTATAGCGTGTCTTTAGAAAAAGAATAAAAAACATGAGTCACATCTATATAAAATAAAATAATAACATCCTTCAATCGATAGACCGTTCACAACAAGAAAGTCCATAGACCGGTCAGACTAGATGACGTGGTGAGCGCTTAACCAATCTGATTGGTTAGTTATGACATAACTACAATTAGCTATAAGATAACTAACACTGACTGTCTGACTGTACACCCAGCTAACTATACTCTCAAAACTACTAAATCTTCTCAAGGAGTTTTATTACCAGTACGTAAAGATATTTAGATCCTCATTGACAATCTAATTCACTGTTTATCATCAAATAGTCAGTTATCAATCGATAGAATGCTAAATAACCATTGAATTGAAACACTTTGAAACTCAACAATCAATTTCGCATAGAATAAATTAAATCCATTGAAAATACTCTGATAATCAATGAACAGTATTCCCTTTTAAATTGTTTCCTTCTTCCGCGTTCTTATTCACAAAATTTATCTCCCCTCATCCCCCAATACACACAAATGAAGCATCTATGAAATATTATATACATGTAACACATTGCTAAAAACCAATTAGATTTTCTGAGAATACTTCTGCATTAAAGTATTATGAAGATGGTAGTTTTTTCCTTGAAATCATGAATGAATCATTGTTACACTATCCTAATAAGAAATCTAGAACCACTGGACGGCCGTTTCGTCCTGATATGAGACTCATCATCAACATCATTGGTTACTGACAGAACTAGAAATACTTTCTCAATGCAAGAACATCAAACAACTATTTTGTTTCTAGTGTATGACTTCACAGCCATGGATTTCGATTACCTAAGATTGCGCCGCACAGAATCCAAAATCACAATCCTTTTTATTCCACCATCTGTATTGTCCAACTTGATAACTATCAAAACCTGTAGACGTCCACATTCTCGGTTCGATTCTGTGTGATGTTCTTCGCTAGAATTGCTATAGACTACCTAGCTAGATTGTATTGAGTACTTAGTTTCTCTTGGTTTCAGTGGAGTTCGAATTGACATTGATTAGCTAATTTCTCACAATTGGCTAGTGCTATATATTTGTTTATTATATCTGTACTACTGTAATAAATAAAAGTAGTCAAAAAAAGTTTTCAAAATATTCCCATCAATACCTGTTTTTATCTTATTGCTTTAAATGTATTTTTGACATCCTCAGTTTTCTTACCTCAATAATATATATTTTATCTGGCTTTTAAAAGCATCATCAACGATGTCTGTGAAAAATGAAATTTGACCCAAAGTCTCTGGTTTTTGTATATTCTGATCAATTTTAAAATATCCATATTGTAACCCCTATCAAACAAGTGATTAGCAACTGCATTGTTTGAAATATGTTGACATTTTATCATTGGTTGTTGTGAAATATGCTATAAGAGGCGAAGAAGATCACGCCATTCCGTCACTGAATGCAAGTGCAAATAAACAATAGAAGGGGACTAGTTTAGTGATTTGTTAAATTCTTTCGATGCTGTTTTTCAATTGCAGGGTTGTGAAGATTGTTAAGTTACACATTTTGAAATCATGAATCGATCAAAGTTAGACCACCATTAAAAACCTGGAAGCACTGGACGGCCGTTTCCTCCTGTTATGGGACTCATCAGCATCGCTCATCCACGACTCCTGCATCCTGCAGGACCCGAACCCGTGACCTTTGGTATTGTCTGCAAACGCCTAATCTCTAGACCAGGAGGAAACGGCCGTCCAGTGAATCCAGGTTTCTAATAGTGATCTAGCTTTGATCGAATCATGGTTTCAATATGATATATTCGTAAGCTAAATTAGTATAAAATCATGCGTGTTATTAAGTGCAAGAAACAAACCTTTTTTTCAAAATAATTTTTGTAAAATTACTTTTCAATCGCATCTAGATGACGGCTTGGATGGTGAGATCAATGCAGTCAATTTCGATAGCATCCATCCATCTTAGCAGATGCATTCTTGATCGAATTCATTGATAAACAGGTTAGATTTTATTAGTGAAAAGTTATGCATGTATATATATGCATATATATTGAGTGTGATGCCGTTAATTTGGTTGTCTATTTTGCGCTAAAATGGCCTGATACGACCGAAAGGGTGGACAGTCGTTTCTCTCTCTTGAAATCCTCTCATAAGGATTTGTATGCACAGCAACTTTTCGAGAGTTCCTACCTATTGCTTTCTCATGACATTGGTTAATAAAAATATTAGTAGAAAGCATGTGTAATTAGGAACTGAAATTCAGCATAATGAGATCACAGTGGTGTGGAGTGTACGATATTCTTCAAGTTTTTACGAAATCGTATTCTTACCCCCACATTTAACTAGACTCATAACTTCTGTTCCTATCCAATATTATTATTATTATCATTGTCTTTTTCAATCATTCTCTCTCTGTCTGTTTCAAAAATTCATAAAATTGTATAATATCAAACATTTTTAAACAACTGGATCAGCAATATTTACTACTGATGAGTACCATGAGTAGTACCCCATGGGAGGGTGTACATTTCGGCTGACCTTGTGGGACAAACTCGATCTTTAGCTTCATCTGGGATCTGAGGACTCCAGTCTATTGTATCGGCGCAAGGCAGTTGGAGGCCAGACGGTTGAAACTGTGGCTCGGTAATCCATTCGGGGTGCCAGGTCTCGCTGGGGAAGCCCATCTTGCAGCCCTTGCCGATTGGGGATTGTGGGTAGTGGGTTGGTTGGAGGGATCTTAGTGATTCATAAGTGCCCGAACGGGGGCTTGTCCGCAGACCAATAAGTATGCATTTAAATCAGCAATCGGTTACACAAATCATACCATTATTTTGATTGATGAAAGCTTTACAAGATGGGACTGTGTACTATCTCTGCTACTCATTACAACATTCAGAAACTGAAGACAATAAAACATTTTGGAAAATAGTTTTGGTTCAAGAAATGATTTCTGATTCAGATGGTATAAATGTATGAAGGTATTAAGTACCAATAAATCCATATCCGAAATAATTAAATATTTTATAAGTAGACTTTTAGTTTCTGACATTTGACAACTCAGTCCAAGCTTTAAATCCTAAATGTTCTTAAACTATAAAAGAGCTGCCTTTGTTATGCTTGTCCATGCCTTGATGTATGTGTCAGATTGCAGTTGTTTATCGATTAGAAAAGTGTACAGCAGTTATTCTTGGGAAGTGGCATATCATAGATGAGCAATCATAAATAAGGTAGAGGCATGCACTCTTGTGAGCCAATGAAATTAAACTTGGAATCTATCAGATCTTACAGGTGATTGATTGATTGAATGAGTGAATGATTGAAGGAGAAAGTCTAAGTGTTTTATAAAATGTGGAGTCGTTTAAATGTAATGTAATGGCTTTTATGATCTGACTGTAAATTTTATTCGATATAATTCTTGACAGCATCATTCAATGTTATTCAGTGGATATTCTGCATGAAAATTCTTAGAAATTTTGTCTTCTTGAATGTTGATCATTAAATGTTTTTCCTCTTTGGATTTTGACTGGGTGTAGTTTATCTTATCTAGTTAACTACACTGTAGTAACTGATTTCTCATCTCCCTTATTGATCTCAAATAACAGATGGGTTTTATGCTTTTATTATGTCTATAATCACGTTTGGCTACTGATAATAAATAAGTAGTAAGACATTTACAGGTAAAAGTTTTGGCCATCTTTTATGGTCTTTTATGGTGGATATCTGTTAGTTTGTTCCTTACTTTATCTATGAATTGACTGGATAGTCGCCTTTGATGAAACTGCTAAAGATTTCTAACTAACAGACAGTGGAACGAAGATGTAAGTCAATGGTTATTTTAATGAACCGCTCATGTTATATGATCAGTAAACATTATGAAAGAGATGAATTGTTGAAGTATAACCTGATAAGTAGATAGGTCTAAGTAGGTAATATTCAAGCTTATATGAGATGAGTAGTTCTTTAGGCATTTCGACCATTTTATAGAACTTTCATCAAAAGAACTAGAAAGAGAGGTCCAGTAGAGAGAAAGTTGGAGAATGCTGGTCGGCAGCTTATGCTCAATAAGGGGTAACAAGAGTATGTAAGTAAGTAAGTAAGTAAGTAAGTAAGTAAGTAAGTAAGTAAGTAAGTAAGTAAGTAAGTAAGTAAGTAAGTAAGTAAGTAAGTAAGTAAGTAAGTAAGTAAGTAAGTAAGTAAGTAAGTAAGTAAGTGCACATGTAAGTAAGTAAGTAAGTAAGTAGGTGAGTAAGTAAGTAAGTAAGTAAGTAAGTAAGATAGCCTATGTAATTGCATACCATTCCATACCATATCATATCAAAAGAAGAATCGGAAGAAATATCCACTGGTTAAGTTCTTGTATGAAAACACACCCTACATACTTTGGACGAGAGGTAATCACACACAAACATTGAGATGATCAATGAACGACCAGTGAATTCCTAATGACTGATCATCATCATCATCATCATCATCATCATCATCATCATCATCATCATCATCATCATCATCATCATCATCATCATCATCATCATCATCATCATCATCATCATCATCATCATCATCATCATCATCATCATCATCATCATCATCATCATCATCATCATCATCATCATCATCATCATCATCATCATCATCATCATCATCATCATCATCATCATCATCATCATCATCATCATCATCATCATCATCATCATCATCATCATCATCATCATCATCATCATCATCATCATCATCATCATCATCATCATCATCATCATCATCATCATCATCATCATCATCATCATCATCATCATCATCATCATCATCATCATCATCATCATCATCATCATCATCATCATCATGATCATTGTTTTGCTTACTTATTACTGTAAATAATTTACTGAATGGTATGTTGACTATCTTTACTGGTAAGATGAAGTTGATTTGTTTTAGAAGGCATTAGATTATCATAAATATGGTAACTACCAAAATAAGTAGTATGAATAATATGTAATGAGTGACGCAGCCTCAACATAATTATAATGAGAATTTATGTGAATTGGAAAAGATGAATGTGTTCATCCAGAAGGTGGTGGTAAGGCAGATATCAGCAAATATGGACCTGCTCACAATGTTCACTTCAAATCATAAGATAATTTAAAGACAGAGGATGAACAGATCTCTTTGGCATATGTGAGTTGAATCTTGTGGAGTTGATCGATATGGCTCTGGCCATGTGCAGGATGTTCATTATCCTACAATGTGAGAAATGATGGCACAATTGACAGATGTTACAATACATTCATCCAACTACGTTGCTACATGTTGACGAGAATGCAACGATAAAGCGTTTGAATCTAGTTCCACAGGACTAGTTGAACTGGCGTTCATACATGAATGACCCTAACTAAAATTAACACTCGTTTCAACATATTTAGCCAACAATCAATACAGACATCACGAAGGTCGTCGTCTGTGTTTAGTTAGTCGATTTCTATTGGTTATCGTCAGTTGTTGAGTGGATTATCTGAAATAGCTCGTCTTCAACTGATCAGTCAACTACTCCAGGGCACATATCCCACAGACTATCACACATAGACTAACGATAATACAGAAACTATTGGGAGTATTTTACGTCACAAAACATCAAATTTCATTGTCTTCTCATGTCAACTCAAGCTAAATTTTGTTGTCAATGAGTATCAGTATTTCTGGCCTCTGACTAGCATGTCAACCAAGCACATGGCGATGATGAGGAGTGAACTGAAGAAGCGAAGAGTAATTATCTTACACCTGATCATTTATCAAATGATGCTTATGAACACGATAAAAATATCATAGACCAAAACCAACAGTGATTAACAAGCAAATTATATAGGATTCGTAGTCAAATTCGCTGATTAAAATGCTTTACAATCAAACACAAATGATTCAAATCGATGCAGTTTTAATGAAACGTGTAATATTGACAAATATTCTCAGTATGGGTAACTGCTGTCCACTGATGTACAATAAATAATATGTGCTAGGCTTGATTCTCCAGTAATGAACTGATATGTATGAAATAAAGAACGGTTCCTTCATAACAAGCATGGAAACAATCATAATCACTGACTAAATTCATCTTTAAGTAAATACAACTCTGATTTAGACACTTTAGTAGCAGCAATCGGTTGATACACAAGTCCTCATCCAGTTAAAATCTTAATATTTCAAGTCGTTGTGCCAACTAATATGTCGACTGACAACTTACAGACTATTAGGTCAAATTCAAATTACCTCAGGTCATGCTGCTTCAACCAATCCAGAGTTGAAAAGAGTTAGTAGTACTTGTCAATGACTGACTGTTCATCCTGACACTGATCAATCACAGTCATCTAAAATGCACAAAGCTACGAAAATTACAGAGTTACTCAGTAAAATTGGAAAACCATATCGTAAATCGTTCATTTGCAAAATAACAGTTCATCATATCGAACTGGACTGTTCCTGTTGCAAAACATCAATCCATTGTCATTATTCATGCGTTTCATACAAATTCCATTGTGTTCTAACACTTCCTTTCTTGATCTTTCCCCATCTTCGGCTGCCAGACATTACGTTGACGCTCACGTCATATACTACTTATAAGTAGCTCGCACCACAGCACCACACTCCGTGTATCTGTTCATATAACCTTATTATCACAGTTGTTTTACGACATTCGGTTGTTCATTTACTTTACTTGTCTCTCTACCACGTAGAGTTGAAGTGATCTCTATTCACCTAATCAAACATCGTTTTTTCTTATTCACAAATAGTTTACTAATATATTACTTAATTAGATACCTTTAAAAAACTTTGTTCAGGGCCAAATCTATTGATAAATGAGTGCACTACCTTTGCTTTATAGTTGCACTTGTCGTCTAATTAATTTAAGCATCTTGCACGTCGATGTTACTTTATCAGACAGACACACACATACAAACACACTCACAACGTGTAACTAGTTTTCACATTCCGACTCATCTCACCATACGAAAGGCATATAAATATATAATTAGGAACAAGTTAAATGGTGAAAGATTGAAGTAAACGTTGTGTAATCTAACGATTATAGTTTAATACATAACAAGTAACTATCAGAACAAAATGAAGGAAGGCGACGATGTTGCGCCGGTTATTGAAAATCAACCACCACATAGCACCAACAAACCGAAGGTGGAGGATGAAGTAAATGATAAACGTAAGTATTCTGAGAAGTTCGATAAGATTTTAACAGACAGCGACACTGTAATCAAGCATGAATCAAAATCACCGGTGAATAATTCTCAGTCAGAGGAGAGTAATAAACTCACAAATGACGATCTAATTGACTCGGACCAAACTAGAGCTCGTATTAAAAAATTCGTTCCAATGGGAATGGTAATTGTATTTGTGACTGTGTTATATGTTTTCTTCATCACCTATTTTGCGTGCATTTATCATGGACAAAAATCTCCAACCATACCATCATTACCATTCTGGAAATCTACAGTTGGTTACTGGTTAGATGTGTTTGCATTCAAAGATTCTTCTGGTGATTTAGTTGGCGATCTCAAAGGTAATGAATATTAGAGTGTAAATTGATTGTCACTCAAATTATTCTCATTCTATAGGTCTCACATCTGAAATTGATTATATCAAAACTGTAATCGGTGCAGGTTATGTGATACTCGGTCCCATCACAAAAGGCTTTTACACTAATTCACACAATATGCTCGGATTAGTGGATGACTATGAACAGTTAGATGAAGCTGTTGGTACAATGGATGACTTTCGTGCTCTTTTGAAACAATTTCATGAGAAAGATGTCAAAGTCATCTTGACATTTGATTTCAATGCCATATCTATCGATCACAAATGGATTCAAGAGAGTAAAGTCAAACTGAAGTCATTCGAAGATCCCTACAACAATAAGGTGAAATCGTTGTTTTTCTCCAAAGAATCGCCTTATCTTTTAAACTCACTTACAGATGTCACGTTACGGCAAGCCAATCGATGTAGATATCGGTGGAAAGAAATTCTATTCTGTATTCGGTGCACCAAATGTCGATTTGGATCTGACTGATCCCGATACTCAGAAACAGATATTTGTAAGTTTTTAAATGAATACATTTAACTAAACATAAATACAATAGAATGTGATCGACCATTGGATGGAAAAGGGTATAGATGGAATTCTTTTGGAAAATGCAGCATTTTTTGTTGAAGAAGAGGAAAATGTAAAAAGAGAGGTAAGTTATTGACATTTTAATGAAATAATAAACTACTGTGTTTCTCTGTCTACTCTTTATTCTACTCTACTCTTCTCTACTCTTCCTTATCTTTCATTATTTTTAGCCGAATTCCAACTGGTTACAAAATTGTCCAAATTCTCAATTGTACAGAAATGGAAGTGTAACATTTGTCAAAGCTGTTAAACAACATTTGAAAAAGTGGATTTTAAGAACTGGGAAAAATAAGTGAGTTCCTTAAATATGATGATCGTTGATCTTATTAGAATTTTGTCAATTCAACCTTATTCATGATAGATTTTTTGGTTCATTTATCAGAGACGACAAATTTACAAATGGTCTATTTGTTTTTCTGACTGAATTACTCTCTCGTGTAGAACAAGTTACATTTAGTAGGCAATAGAGAAGTTTTCATTATCATGGTTGTCAGCACCTTCATTTTATCAAACTGAAAGTGTAGCCACAACTGTTAGCAGTTCTATTATGAATCAATAGGTGCGAACGGATCGTGAAGTCAACATGAACCAGACGTTTTCAATAATGTTTTATCGCAACTGTTATCTGTATATGATCTGCCTGATTTAGAGTCCTGCAAACGGTAGAACCAATAGTTGTTCTGGATGAAATGTCTTGATTTTAAATTGGAAATAAATATGTTAGATGGATTCTTTTATACTCACCTACTTCTTGCCCAACAAGTCGATTGTCATTTAGATGAAAAACATGACATAATTCGCCCGATGTACAAATAGTCTTCCCTTTTTGATATGCTTTGAGCTATTACGAGTTCACCTCAGTCGGTAAACGGAGCGAAGACAAGTGATCCAGTGACACGATAGGCTATTCTAATCCGTTATCCCCAGCCCGGTTAATTATATCAAGAAGTCTTGATAAGGCGTATAATGTGTATTCTACAAGCACCCAGAAAATACGAGGTCGATAAACACACACAGGGATATAAACTTCCTTGAGAGAACCACAAAAATAGTGATAACATGATTCTGGCAAACATCTGACATATCGAAAATAACTAGACACGATTTAGAAAAGTGCGACCTTCAATTTAGAGTGTGTGAACACTTTAGCCGTGGACCATTGAGCCAGTATAAAACGATGTCGATGTCTGAAGTCAATGAATTCTTGAATTTTCGCAATCACTGATTCATAGTGGGTAGTGGGTAACTGTGGTGTCGCACAATTCACACTCGATTGAACTCTTTATATTGAAGCTACTCACCATTAAGCAAATGATGGGAATTTTGCAGAAAGAGGAATAAGCTAACCATTTTCTTATCTACACATTGAGATCAATGAATAACTGAAGTTTATTTAACATCCGTAATAGAGATAGTTATAGCATTAGCCACTGACTACAGATTTTAATTTCATACGTTTTATGTAAATTACCTCGAACAATCATATTTTTTGCACATAAAATATATTCTACAGATTGTTGGCTGTAAACTCAGGTGATACAGGTTGTGGTGTGGGTAATAATCTCGATCCAATGTTGATGTTCAAAGATGTGGTTGATTTGATAATCAGTCGTGAATTCGTGTTCCAAAGGGGTCAAACTGAAGGCGCGATAACATATAGCGATACAGACGTAAGGAAGCTTTCTTCATATTCACACTCGGATAGGGCGAAGTTAGGATTGACGACAACTACTTCAACTAATGCACCAGTTACAGATTTCATTCAAATGGCATCAACATTATTATCACAAGGTATGTGAACATTATTATGACATCGTCTAGTTATATTCATATTATTTCACATATCACTACTGTACAACGTCTTAGCACAGTTTTTCAATTCTAGTCTTAGAATGCTTATTCGCATCGCCATCAACCACTGAATACAAATTCATAATCATGAGACATTTCAAAAGAGGATCGATGGTTAACATTTCAATTTGACAAGATATTTAAAATGTGTAAACAAACTAATCTCCAGAACTCTAATTGAAAATATCACAAAATGTGCTTACCAGTGACTAGCCTCGTGAGGAAATTCTCCGAGTTCTCGTGAGATGACGTGACCAGTGGAGTTCAACCCTGTCGGATGTAGGCAGAAACTTCCAAAGACAAATGGATTGAGGTCGGGCAAAATCCCTAGATCATTCAGAGTTAGACATTATCACCGTTATACCGACTCAAGTGGTCCAGAGGGTTAGGCGTTCACGGCACAATACCATTGGTCCTGCGTTTGAATCCTGCGAGTAGCAGGAGTCGTGGATGCGCACTGCTAATGGGTCCCGTACCAGGACGAAACGGCCATATTTCAGTGCTTCTAGATTTCTAATGGTGGTCTAACAAAGATTGACTGATGATTTCAAATGTATAAAAACACTCATCTTCCATAAATCTAATTGAAAATATTGTACAAGTACTGTCGGTCACGAAATTGCTGCTTGAATTGATATACACTACAACATGTCACAATGAACGATTATCAGACACAACTTCAACTGCCTGCCACGTCTCAGTACAAACGTCAGTCCATCTACTAGTGATATATATTCAGGAAGACATCATCATCCTCCCCCTCGAGATTAACGATTTTCTCAGACGTTTTAATCGAACTTGTACTGTGATACACACACGTTGTATTGAATATTAGATCATGAA